CACACACTCGCGCGTGCACATCATACACGATCCAGCACTCACTCCTCTGTTTACTCACACACTCCTTCATTCTCCTACTGGGATCTTTACATGTGGGGTTATCCGGTCCTTTAATTTGACAGCTCAGGTGACTTTTACCAAGGACTCCATCAGGATGTATTACTTCGTCGTGTTTGACAACCTGGTGGCCACTATGAAACAGCGCATCGCGAGGGTGGTGTCTTCATCATGGGCCCGCAGGCAAATGGCTGATCAGCATCTGAGCTTGGAAGAAGTGCTGCACCAAGATTATCAGGGTGTGCTTGGGCCCATCATGGGGAAGGATGGCTTTTGCATTCCAAGATCTGACACTGGCGGAGTGAAGAGAGACACTTTTACTTCCGAGATCTTGGATGCCACAGTGCAATATCAGACGTTCCAAGCTTTGATGCCAGTCAGCTACCGCGTTTGCGCTGAGAATGGGCACATGTGCAAAAATGCTCCAATGCAAAGGATTACCCACGGCCATGGCTCTGGTGGTGTGACGACTTATGCGACTCGTTCTGATTGTCAAATCGGTTGTGTTCCGGCTGCATGCTTCTTATCCCGTGCCAACAAGACAGGCCCAATCCTTTTTGCAGGCACAAGCGGTGAGACAGTGCCGGGTGGGTCCACTATAACGTCCACCACATCGCCCAGTTTGGCTGCTGCCATGGAGAGACGTGCAACAGACAGGAGCACCCTCACGGAGGAAACGTCTTTGGATAGCGCAATTGTAGGGAAGACGCCGTGCCATGGGGGACGGACTCATTGTCGTGGAGATGCAGCAGGAAACCAATTCTGCTATCCCAATCATGAGACCTGTGATAGTTATTGCGCGGATGATGATGCTGACCCTCGCCCCACTGACAATTGTGAGCTCATGAGGACGTGGACGGATCTCAAAAGTTTTGAGTTACATGGGTCCTCTTATTCAGCATGGCTTTGTGGATGGGAATCTGATGATGATATGAGCAAGATTTGGATGCCCAACTCCAATCTGATGGCCACCATTGATCGCTTGGTGAAAATCTTTACCAACAAAACTGGTCTGGGAGCCGTGCTGAGACCCTACATCCAGGGCACGACGAGGTGGAAGTCAACGGTTCGTGCCGGCTGGGACTTCCACATCCTTCGTCTGCCAAGATCCAGTTTCATCAACTCAGATGATGGAAAGATGATGATCTATACCCAGCAAATTGGACAAAATTGCAACTGGTACAAGGATTCTGGTGGCTGCGCTGGCTATGATGAGTTTAAAAGTGGTGAGTACAAAGGACGCTGTGGCAATGAACCTTGGATCAATGAGCCCTGTGGCACTGAAGCGCAAGCACCTTTGCTGCCGGTCAGATCTTGCAAAACCTACACATCGTCAAAAGACTATTGCAACAAATGGTGCAATACCGGCGGTAGATGGGGATGTGGCGTTGCAAGCGATGGTGAAGTCACTTGTGACTGCTCAGGGTGCAATGGCTGCCCAGTATGTGAGACCGTGGTTGTCGGCCCTCACCAGGTTCCTGTTCCTTCCTCCGTTCGTGCCAACTTGACCAACTCGTCCTTCAGGTGTCCTGCAACAGTGGACAAGTCTAACTGGCTCAACGGTGACACCAGTGATGATCGTTTTGAGGTCACCAAAGAGGTGCACGGTGGGGTCACTCAAGTCGTTGTGCGGCGAATTGAACACTCCAGTTCTGCCTGGCTAGTGAACTTGGCATTCCAATGCTGTGACAAGCTAGCGCAGCTTTGCTGGGCGTGAAGCCCGTGTCTCGGGACTCTCCATGGTGCTGCAATGTCGTGGGCGTGAACTTCATGTCTTGGGACGCCCAATCGTTGTCTATTTAGTCTTCTCAAACTGAGGCCCTTGTTCGTCATTTTTGTTCACTCATGCATCTTTGAACGCCAACAGCGCGGTTATGAAGGCTGATGAATCGGGGCGGAAAATTGTGGCAAAGCGCTGTTCAGAGTCAGGAACAAAGTGTTGAGGGAAAGAGGCAGACATGAATGCCATGCATGATTTGATACAGGGCTTTGGGGATGTGGATCTGAGATTCCGGCTTTCGGGCATCTCAGATTCAAA